TCATATGTTTAAATTAGTTCAAAGCATTTTCATGTCTAATTACTTAATCTTCATTCCATCACTGTGAGGAGGTATACTTTAAACAATAGTTGTAGCTATTAGTGATGAATTGGGTCTGAAAAACTTGAGCATTCCAAAACCCTTTGCATACTGAGTTAAAATGTGTGTCTATTTTTGAACCGGGCCCCTAGTTTTCATAATATTTTACTGAGCAGCCTCTACAGTTAGGCATTTTGCTATGCATTTTACAAATGTTGTTTATTTAAACTCATTTAACAATTCTATAAGGTGAGTTACTCCAAAGATTTATAGATGAGGAAACTGTTAATTGACTGTCCCAGCATTAAATAACCAGGAACCTAGATTTGATGTTTTGAAGTCAGATTGGCTTGACTCCAAAGCTCAGGCTTCTCCAAGGAATCCTGAAAGACTTTGACACCTTTTTAAAAAAATATATTTTTATTGATCTCAGAGAGGAAGGGAAGGGGGAAAGAGAACAATCAATGATGAGAGTGAATCGTTGATCGGCTGCCTCCTGTACGTCCCCTACTGGGGATGGAGCCCGAAATCCAGGTATGTGCCCTTGACCGGAATTGAACCAGGGACCCTTCAGTCCATAGGCTGACGCTCCATCCACTGAGCCAAACTGTCTAGGGTGACTTTGACACTCTTTACTGATACAGATCTAAAGTTTTTTGGGCTCTCAGGCCAGTACTTTGAACAAAAAGAAAGAATGAAGCTGTTGTGACTTGTTTTCATTTGTTTTAGATAAATGATGTTAACTTTATTTGATTCATTAACTTTTCCCCTGGAGCAGTGGCTGGCAAACCGCAGCTCGCGAGCCACATGCGGCTCTTTGGCCCGTTGAGTGTTCTTTGGCCCCTTCAGTGTGGCTCTTCCACAAAATACCACATGTGGGCATGCACCTACAGTGCGATTGAAACTTTGTGGCCCATGCACAGAAGTCGGTATTTTGTGGAAGAGCCACACTGAAGGGGCCAAAGAGCCGCATGTGGCTTGTGAGCTGTGGTTTGCCAATCACGGCCCTGGAGTATGTTAAATACAGACATTATATTTTACTCCAAGCATAGGTTGGTATGCATCTCTATTTTCCTATGTAAACATTGATCACATCTAGCAAAACTGACACTAAGACCTCAATATTATCTAATATCCTGGCTGTATTAAAATTTCCCCCCAATTTGAATTTAACAGCTCTTTGTCCGCTGGAAAAGAAGGTGATTTCACTGAGTGCTCCTGAAGCAGTTTTTTTTTTTTTTAAATTTTGCCATTTAAAACAAAGAGGATCAGTGCCAAGTTCACAGATATACTCCAGAACTTTATAATCTCCCTATAAAGGCTATTGCATCTTGATCTTCACTTGTCATAAACTTCAAGTCCATTTATTTTTACAGTAACTATAAGTTTCCTTTCAGGTTTTTTTTAAACCCAGAATTTTAATATAGTAATTTAAATGAGTATTTGTTTTTGGTGTTTAAGTCTAAATGGTGAAGTGCGGCAAATTGCTTTTAAAATGAATTTTATGAAAGTATTTTGAATCATCTTTACATTGTTTTCCCTAGGATTAAGATAATACTTTCCAGAGATGGTTAAAGTGCTATTTTGACTGGTAGTTATCTTAATTAGATCCTTTCAGTGCATTCCATGATGCTAAAACATGCTAGCAAATGATATTGTCTTATCTGTGTTAAAGGAATGTAAGGGTGGCAGCCTTCCTAATCAAGTCAACCTGTTTATGCAGTCACTCCGAATGTTTTGCACAATTCTAAGAATGGTAGGGAGTATGAAAAGTATGACGTAGTTCCTAATCTCAAAGAGCTAGTGTAATATTGGTAGCATAACATAAGCTAAATTGTAGGCACTAGCTTCTTTTCTGGACCTTCAGGTATTTGGCAGTTACCATGCAATTTAGTAGTGTGAGCACTGGAGGCTAATGTTTCCATATCAAATCCTGGTCATTTCTGTACACATGTAAACAAATTAAACTATTCCCCCTCCTCCTGCCTCTTTCCCCAACTCTAACTTAATGGAATTGTTTGGATTTCTTGATTATTTTATAATAGTGGGACACAGCAGGCCAAGAAAGATTTCGAACAATCACCTCCAGTTATTACAGAGGAGCCCATGGCATCATAGTTGTGTATGATGTGACAGATCAGGTAAGTTCCAGGAGGAAATTGTGTTACAGCGACCAAGTAGGAAGTTACTATTTGATAAATAGCCATCCATTTTATTTATATGGCCAAAACTTTGTCCACTTCCAAATAGGTGAATCACATAAACATTATTTGGGCACCTAATGGTCAGCTAAAATGTCATATTTTCCTTAAGTAAATAGAAAATTTAGTACAGGGGTCCTCAAACTTTTTAAACAGGGGGCCAGTTCACTGTCCCTCAGACCGTTGGAGGGCCAGACTATAGTTTAAAAAAAAACTATGAACAAATTCCTATGTGCACTGCACATATCTTATTTTGAAGTAAAAAAACAAAATGGGAACAAATACAGTATTTGTATTTGCATGTGGCCCGTGGGCTGTAGTTTGAGGACCCCTGATTTAGTATTTGGTTTTACATTTGCTTTCAGGGACCTTGGTTATATTTATTACCAACTAAAAAACTGATTGTTTTGACAAGAGTTTATAGTGAGCTGTAGTTATTTGGCTTATACCATGTTCTTGGTATTAAATATTAACAAATTTGCCTAGTAGTTAGACTTGTCAGAATTGCCAAAAAACAAGATTATGAGTCTGCCTGTGGAGGATATTCTTGATAGGTTGAGCTAGAGGAAGATTTTAGGAAGATAAAGAATATCTGAAGATTAGCTTTTGAGAGTAGGGCTGGTGGGGGTACAGGGATAGCGTGAAGAATGTACTAGTAGTCCAAGGACCATAAGAATTGATCAGAAAATTAGAAAATTTCAAGTTTTTTTTCTATCAAAGAATAAAAGATAAGTGTTTAGAACTTACTTTTCTTGTAGCAAATGGTAAGTGTCACTTCAACTATGATATAGTTAATTAAGAGATAACTGGAATCATAATACTTTAGATTCAATGCCTTGAGAAGTATTGGGTGAGTGATACAACAGGAGAAAAATGATGCTAATTTCAAATCTCATGTCATTACCATGAAATACTTAAAAAAAATTTCTTCTCAATATGATTGTGGTAAAAAAACACCCCAAGCATCTTTGGACCCATTTATTTAATATCTTTTGTCTCTAGTAGTAACAATCTATTCATAAACCAAATAATCAGATTTCAATTCAAATTTATCAAATTTGCTTGAGCTATATAGTTTGATGCTGAGCTGTATTTCTCTGTCAAATAAGGTATTTTTATCCTCAAGCCTTCAAATTCTAATTTATTTAGGTAAGGATAGTCATTGTAATATTATCAGTTTACTTCTAAGCCAGCAGTATAGTAATTATCTTATAGCTGGAGTTGCTTCATTAACTCTTCTTAGGTTAAGAAAACACTTCTTTTATCACTTGCTTCATTAGAACAGTTGTTGTATTATAGAACAGAGCTATATTATCATCCTTAAAAATGTCTGTCTTCTTAGGAGTCCTTCAATAATGTTAAACAGTGGCTGCAGGAAATAGATCGTTATGCCAGTGAAAACGTCAACAAATTGTTGGTAGGGAACAAATGTGATCTGACCACAAAGAAAGTAGTAGACTACACAACAGCAAAGGTATGTTTAAAGTTGATTTTCAAACTGAATTTGAAGGCATTGAATTTGAATTATGTAGTGGGGAGTCATGCAATGATCACAACCACCTTTTGCTTTTAAAATGTGCACTAGAATACTTTGAAATGACAATTTTTTAATGGTGTCTGTTTGGATTCAGTGAACTTAGTCTTTCCTCACTGCCCATTTTAGACAGAAGTGCACTAAAGGTGAAAAAGATTTTTTCAGTGTTAATTGTGCTTTATTATTCTCTTAGGAATTTGCTGATTCCCTTGGAATTCCATTTTTGGAAACCAGTGCTAAGAATGCAACGAATGTAGAACAGTCTTTCATGACAATGGCAGCTGAGATTAAAAAGCGGATGGGTCCTGGAGCAACAGCTGGTGGTGCAGAGAAGTCCAATGTTAAAATTCAGAGCACTCCGGTCAAGCAGTCAGGTGGAGGTTGCTGCTAAAATTTGCCTCCGTCTTTTTCTCACAGCAATGAATTTGCAATCTGAACCCAAGTGAAAAAACAAAATTGCCTGAATTGTACTGTATGTAGCTGCACTACAACAGATTCTTACCGTCTCCACAAAGGTCAGAGATTGTACATGGTCAATACTGACTTTTTTTTTATTCCCTTGACTCAAGACAGCTAACTTCATTTTCAGAACTGTTTTAAACCTTTGTGTGCTGGTTTATAAAATAATGTGTGTAATCCTTGTTGCTTTCCTGATACCAGACTGTTTCCCGTGGTTGGTTAGAATATATTTTGTTTTGATGTTTATATTGGCATGTTTAGATGTCAGGTTTAGTCTTCTGAAGATGAAGTTCAGCCATTTTGTATCAAACAGCACAACCAGTGTCTGTCACTTTCCATGCATAAAGTTTAGTGAGATGTTATATGTAAGATCTGATTTGCTAGTTCTTCCTTGTAGAGTTATAAACGGAAAGATTACACTATCTGATTAATAGTTTCTTCATACTCTGCATATAATTTGTGGCTGCAGAATATTGTAATTTGTTGCACACTATGTAACAAAACAACTGAAGATATGTTTAATAAATATTGTACTTATTGGAAGTAATATCCAACCGAATGGTGATAAGTATTGTTTTAATTCTTATGGTTAAAGGGAAAGA